ACGTCGCCCAGCAACCGATGTTACTAGAAAACACTTATTTGCATCAAAATGGGGTTTTTTTTTTTTTTTTTTGCCCCTGTGAACACCAATGTGAAAAATAACGGCGAGGACACACTGGTCCAAATGTAATGAGCCGGGTTCTGGTTCAACGCAGGCTCAACGGAGAGGACTCCTGATTCACAGAATCCAACGTGCCCCAGACTGAAGGCTAAATCATCGGGCCTGATTGCTAAGTGGAAGAATTCTGTAATGTTTAGGTAACGTGATGACATTAGTGCTGGAGTGCAGGAAGGTGGAGAGTATACATTGCAGGGGTGTCTCTGTGTGTTACCCCCCTGGAATAAGTGTATCCCCAGAGTTTGGGCGCAGGCTGACACCAACTGACTTATTATTTTTTTTGCTGAACTCCAAAATATCAAATTTGTGATGTGAATGAAATCCTGTCATGACATCATAATTACCTCAATCGAGCACTTCTTGATACAGGGATTGTGTTTTGGGTTACCTATAAAACATGTCGAGTGTGACATTTATCGGCAGGCTTTTCACCACTTTTGCGTTGAGAATAACACATCAAATTACAGTACTTGATTGTAAGAATTAAACAGAACTTTCAGTTTCTGAATTTAAACTCACAGGATGCGTTAGATGAAACTGTAGGTGTGGTTTGCTCGAATTCCTATTTCGGGATGACCGCTTGATTGTCTCGTTGGTCCACCCAGGCGTGCTTTCAACTGCAGCTCTTTCCGTGATGATACTACTGAAAAGTTATTGTGTGTGAATGTGAACTATATGTATGGTATTGCTCTGTTGCTTGTGCATTTGTTTTACGTATGTGTCCAATAATGGACCTCCAACGGCCAAACCATTGAAGTATTACAGTGATATTGCCAAATAATATTACATTGTGTTCAGCATTATTTCTAAAGAAAATGTTGCTCCGGGCTTTCAACTGTTTAAATTGCTTTCTAATTTTTCTAATGGCTTCAAGCTGTTTTTTTTTCTTTCTATAATAACCAAGTATTTCTACTTATGGTAGCGATTTTATATAATGTGCCATTGCAATAAGTTATTGCACTTACAATTTTGAGAATTGTGCGTTTATACTTCCACTGGGACAGAAGTCTCAGGTTGTTCTGTGTCGCAAAAAAAAATGTTGCTTTAAGCCATCACGATTTCGCGCCGTGACACATCTGCTCAAGGTGCTGGACATTCGTTTGTACAGTGGTAACTTGTTTTTCATTTGATGGATTGAAGTGATGATGTAATAAAATCCAAAACAGTCTGATCAAGTTCCTTCTTTAAAATACGGCATTCAGTACATCTTTTTTTTTTCTTGCATAGGCTACATGATAGAATGTTCACAATGGTAAGAGGTTTACTGTTATGGTTGAACAACATTTTCAAATTGAAGGCAAACAAGTGTTCCATTTTTGAATATGTCACGACATAAAAATACGATTGAGTGCATGGGTTCTCCAGAAACTATATTCCCTGAAAAAAATTAAAATACCACGAATCAAAGCATCCATGATGGGTGAAATTCCTGGAAGGCTTTATTTAATTTCTTGATGTATTTATTTATTCATTTTTAAATACTTTTTGCACCGTATGGATGGAAAGACTCCAATCTGCCGGCGACATCCGTCAATCATTAATACCCTGTCCACTGTGCGTTTGATCAACAAATATTAAAAAGAGTGTGCCGTGGAGCATCCTAATCCTGAATGTTTCCAAAATATATATACACACACACACACACACACACACACACACACACACACACGCACACGCACACGCACACGCACACACGCACACAACCTGCCCCATCCCTAACATGACAGAACTTGGCATTAGAGAGCAACAGTTTTTATTTTTGAGTGACATCAACATATAGTCATGATATACAGTTGCAGTCAAAAGTTTGTGGAAAAAAATCTTCAAATTCAACTGCTCTCAAACACTCGAAGAGGTCAAGAAAAATGACCTTTGAACTCTTGATAATGTGCAGCTACGAAATGAAAGTCATTCCATAAAGCATCAACCACATCATCAAGTTGATTGAGAAAATACCGAGATGTGCAAAGCTTTTTCTGTTCTTAGTTTTTTTTGTTTGTCCAGATTATTGGCACATCTATTCATCCTTTTCAAATCAGGATTTTTTTTTTTTTTTGTGCATCACCATGACCCTAATTCAAACAGAAATTTAGCAAGATTGAGTTCGCCGTGATCAGAGGTAATAAAATCCCAAACCCTAGAGTAATACGCACGCAACTTAAAAGCCTGAGTACACCAAAATGCGGGTAGGTGACATAAATAAACAGTCGTAGAGGGCAAGAAGAGCGGCCCGCTGTGCCCTGGACGGCTCTCATTAAAGCTAATGGGTCACACTGCCCCAGCTAGGCTCCACTGACATCCTTAATAGAGGCCTGCACGGTTAAAGGACCGTGCGGACCATTAGGACACTTCAAAGTTTAGTCGATACATTAGGCTTGTACTGATATGGCAAAGAAGGCAAAGATCCAACTGCTCATTCACATGCTTTATTTCTCCATCGGTGGACCTGTCAGTCAGCATGCTCCATAAACAAATGGAAACTTGAGCTGCTCATTAAAAGACATCGTTAGCAACGTTAGGGTTGTAAATCGGTGCTAAAATCAAGCATTTCAGCAGACGCTTTTGCTTACTTTGAACACTTCCTTGGTTTGAAAACGGAGCCCGACACGTTGAATCTAATTTCTCCGCTTCCTGTTTGACCAACTAAAAGGCTCCCTATCAACGGCGTTGCGCCCGGCAGTCAAAAATAGACAAGTGAATTCATGTGAACCAATGTTACTGTGAAACTAAAGTCCACTTCTCTCTTACAGCGTCAAATAACTTCTTGCCATAAATCAAGCATATCCAGTTGAAGTTTTAAAGCGCGGATGGTGTCCTAGGGGACATAAAAGATGAATCAGCCTCCTGCGGTGGCTATAAGTCAGCAGCACAAAGGAGCAGGCAGCTGAAGGGGCAGAAACATAACGTACAGTACGTCACAGAATCTGGGAAAACCTTCTTCATTACAAGCTAAGAATGTCATCCAACGGCTCACATTTTGGCCAAGCTGAATGGATCGTTGCTTTAACAGCAGAACTAACATCTGTTGAGCAACTTTACGTAAAGCAACCCATCGAGTGAAGAAGATGGGATGGTTCTGCGTGAGCAAAAACGCGAAAGTGGCATTTTTCGGTAAAGCTGAACATAACGCACATTTGCATGTATAAAGAAAGAGAAGAACTGAGTTAAACTTGGCATTTCTAAATCGGCTGTTTCGTCTGACCAACTGACCGTGCTGTGTCGCATTTGGATTCTCTCTCAGACATGCTATTCTCAGAATATTTTTTACTTTTTAAAAATAAACAGTCAACAAAGGTTATTTAAACAGCAATTAGTTGCGATATTCTGAAGCACTGAACTCGTTTTGCTCAATCTCGATCAGGACAGACCACTGAATTAGTTTTGCAACAGCTTTAGTTTTTGTTTCAAGCACACATTCGATAAGGTAGTGGAAGTCTGATTTGTTTTTTTAATTTACACCAATGCAAGTGTGATTTCAAAAAGAGATACCGTTCACTTTTTTGTGAAGAAAAAAAAATATTCACTCAACTCACTTTAAGAGATGACAAATACTGACTAAGCCCATTAAGTCCTCTAAAATTTTGCTGCATTGATGAATTAATGTACTGTATATGGATTTAGATGAACTTTCTCAGGTGCTAACTTGATTTTGTGAGTTGGCATCACATAAATAATGTTAATTAAATCAACTTAATTTTGCATGACGTGTACACTCAGATTCCATTGTTGGTGGGCTTTAAACAAACTTGAATTTCGCATAACTTCAAACTTGGCTTGATAACTCAATTGTTCTCAACACGGACTTTCCCATTTAAGTTCCCTTTTCCTGCAGCAGGCTGAAGCAAACCTCCGTAGTTCGGTAAAATGTATTTCTAAATTGTCAATTGAAGTCATGGGTTTCAATTTGTTTCAAGCTATTTAATTGTGATAATACTTCAAATGGAACTTGTTTAACTCAGACTATAGCTAACCTACAGCGCTGATACCACCTTAGCCGTGTTCTTCCCCTGACCTTGTTTTACAATGACTGCTATCTACAGCAGTGTTACCGGAGTACCGCAGCCACATTTTTTTTCTCTCGCAAAAATATATTTCGTTCATTCACATGGGTAGCTGTGTTCTTTCTCTTAGTTCGTTTAACCGCGTGACTGCTAGCTAAGTTACAGCACCTGAGTACCAAGGGCATGCTAGCCAACGGGGAGAATGCTGTGATTTTCCCAAATAGCCGGTCTATTTCGCGGGCTTGTCCAACCCATAACCCGTTGATGTAATGCGTTATGGGTAGTTCGGCAAATACTGTAGATTAGACACCCCTCCTCCCCCCGCCCCGCCACAAGCAGCCCCACAGGCTAAACGTGAGGGCCTTAGCATGTGGTCGTGAGGGTACCACTTTTGTGATCACTGTTTTGACAAATAAGTACCCTTTATACTGCAAATATTTGAGAGAAATGTTCAGCTTTCATTTCGGATGTTTCAACAAAAACACAGCATTTGCCATTGAGAAACTACATTTCAGGCAGAGTAAGTCAATTGTTCCATCTGTGCCTCTTCCTGTCTTCACTTTTGTCATCATTGTCAAATACATCTGTAATTGCATATCTGTGGGTGTGCAGTTACTTTTGTAGAATTTGTTTTTTAGATTTCTTTTTTTTTTTTTTTTTTTATTAAACCATAATGGGCCAGTGGTTAACACACATGGGTAGCAGTTTTGAGGTTGATAGTGCAAATCCAGTTTCAAGCTCACCTAAAACCCTAGCAAGGATAAGATGCTGAGAAAAAGAATGATGATTGGTTTGGTCTTTTTTTTTGGCGCATAATACAGCTTGTTCTCGTTTCATTGTCAAAACCACTGCTTTGACATCAAACGAACAGCAGTATTGTGGACCTTTCGGGATGGACAAGCTTGGAAACAATTGGCTGTCAGTACCAATAGGCTGTGGTGTTCACAACAACAGAATCGGTATTGAATGGAGAACAGTCCCTCAACAAAATCTCCAGCCTCTGACTGAAGCGGGCTTTTATTCCATTCGATTTGCCCAAACGGGGTAATTGAGCCCACATGTATTGATATGTTCATAATCTACTGTTTTGAACAGTGTTTAGCTTCCCAGTATTATCATATTACTTGTAAACTAGCATATTAAAGTGTATAATATGTATGCTACCCGAATGTTGAGGAACCCATTATTTTAATTCACTCTCCTCTATAAACAATAGAAATGCTAAAACATGTTTGGACAGACTTCTGTTATCCTCCCTTGTTTTACTCCTGCCTGTGTTTCGCGATTTAAAATTTAAGAGTTGACAAACTATAACCAGCAGACCGACTGCTGATTCCCTCTTAACACCAATCAAGTTATTATCGGGATGTGTCCCCCTTGCTGCTCTTCACTCCAGAGCCGCATGGCATCTCTCTCCTGGCCAGTATGTTTTTAATTATGAAGCTTGTGAATACGGGCCCGGTGGAGTATCGCTGTGATTTATTGCTCACTTACGTCTTGCCGTGTTTGGCGCATTTGCTCAAGGAGCCCGCCTGCTGCAGAGCTCAAAAGGTCAAAAATATACAAATAGTCCACGTTTCACAGACTGCGCCGGTGAACAATGCGCATCGATTGACAGGCAGACATGAAAAGTCAGCCGTGAGGAAAATGTTTCTGACAGGGTAACCCTGGAAGGATTAGAGGAGCCGAAAACAAAGAACTAATGAAGAATCTCTCGCAATGGTCGTCATTTGGAGGACAACTAGATGCTAAACATGACTTCTTTGTAACCATGCAACATTATGCGACCGTCACACATGGGATCATTTATTTGTTGTCAACTGAATCCAAAAATGCTTGGCCTGAGAAACGTCTCATCCCAACAGACTAATTTCCTGGCCTACCCTGCTCACTTCCTGTTTTATAGCGACTCATGGGCACCACATTGTGCGTCATAACAGCTACCCTGAGGAAGCATGGTTATGGCTGCCGTGGGACTATTCATGCAGAAGTTTTTGTGTTTAAGTGCCACATTTGATTTTCAAAACAAAACCTGGACAGTGTTTTATTCAAATAACAATTCATTTCTTTTTCCAATTCATTGATGGTTAGCCACATTACATTTGACCAATTATCTCAAACTGTGGATGTACTGTAAATCAGTATTACTGCATTATTTACCAAATTCACTAATTTCCAAAGGGGGGATTAAAGAGCATTATGGGTTGCACGTGACCCATAAGCCCACACTTTACCCACAACTGATCTTGACACAGCATTAAGTAGCCCATTTTGTTTCACAACATGTGTGCGACAGCACAAGATTATACTTACATTTTCACATCAGCTTGTGACAATCTCACCAAAGAAGATGGGAATTGCCTGGTCCTCGGGGGGGCTTCTATGGCATGGCCAACATCTAACACCTTTCACGCAGGATAAACACAGAGCAAGGAAGAGAGGTAAGTTTTATGTTAAATACATTCAGGAAACAAGACTTGTTCTAGTTCTCCTGGGAGTCCATTCAGTCGTAAATCATCAAGCAATGAAAGTTTCCTCTCTAAAGAGGGGGGCTAAAACCAACTGCCCCTCCTCTGTTAACCCCCCCCCCCCCCACTTGGAATTTTTATGAGGAAACAAGAGATGTGGTGCTACAAGACTACTTCTCTGGAGCAAAGAGGTACACAATTTGACATAAAGCCTTTGTGGAAGAAAAAAATAAAGTATATTTATTTTAAGGGCTTTTATCAAACATTCCTTTGAATAGCGGGAGGTATTCAATAAATTCTGCTGCATGCTTTTACAGTGTGTAGTATACTCCAGTCAGGCGAACAACAGCACATCAACTACGTGCCAACCAACAATTTCGGGTGTCATCGCTAAACCACAAGATTTTCAGAGTACCAAACTTGACCTGTGAGAGACAGCCTAATGAGTAGAAGAAATAGAAGAAGCTAACTGTTAGCTTGTCCAGTCACTAAATTATGGTTGCAAACCGCCTTGTCATTTTTTATTGTGTTTAATACTTGGGAGACATGTTTTACAAGCACTCAACGGCTTCTCAATTTGTCCAGCAACAACGCAAGATTCAGGCCCCTTCCATTTTATGTCACAATCACAGAGTGTGTGGCGAGGCCAGCCTCTGTTTTGACCACGCACGCACGCACGCACGCGCGCGCGCGCACACACACACACACACACACACACACACACACACACACGGCTCTGGGCTCTTTGTGATTTCAAGGGACAGAATATGCAGAAAATTTACCCAATGACGTTATTGTTAGCCGCTAACTATCTAGCCAATGTCACTTTCCATTTGATTGATTTTTACTTAAGTTTTAGCAGTGTTGCATGTTATGTATATTGTCTATATAGTTAATGCAGCCTGTGTGGTTAAATATGTTTTCTGGCTGCAAGATATTAACAACATAATCATTTAACCAGCAGTAGCACCAAGCGGCTGTTAAAGTCTCAGTCACAATTTGACCTCAATCTTTGCAAACACTCCGCACTGAAGCACTGCTTCTGGTTGGACATTTATTGATCAGCAGGTCAAACAGAAAATACCCTAAAATCCTTGTAAGTAGTTTACATCTGCAGGCTTTTGGTCATGTATATTTTGTATAAATAAGACCTGGTCAATGGTTTGAGTCCATGGAAAGGCACAGTGATAAATGCAAACACATATAGGACATTGCAGAACTGGAGGACATTTTGTCACCCAAATAAAATACCGAGTACGGCGGGAAGATAAAGCCATTGTCGAAATATTTAAAATTTGAAATGTCTTTTGTTTTACAGAGGATGTCTTCAAGAGTTGTCACAGAGATTTAACTTTTGTTTGTAGACAACACTCAAAAAATAAATAAATAAATAAATAAATAAATCTTTAGTTATCGCACCATTTGAAGGAAGTCCAGTACCCAGTTTTCTGGGTGAGGTCATGTGACATTTCACATACAGCGGATGAGTTTCTTACAGCATGCAACTGCAGCTGTATTCAAAGCAATTCCAAAATAAATACCATTTAATGTAATCACTGGAATTGCTGTGATTAATCAACAGGTAATCAATTATCAAAGTTTAGGATTCTATTTTTGAATCAAGAAATCATTTGTGTCTTTTTTAAATGTATCCAAATGCTCGGGATTTTAGGGTCTCAAAGGTATACAGCCAATTGCTGTACTTTTCAATGAGATTCGACCCACTGTCTTTGTGTGGAATCACGATGAAACATTTGCTTTTACTTTGGCAAACAACGATTAACATTTTTGCCTCTTCTGACATGTGGTGGAACCAGAAAATGAATTGTTTTTGTTTGCACATTTACTGCCCGAAGACTGTTGGGATAAGCTCCAGCACACGCGTAACCCGCATGAGGATAAGCGGCTCGAATAATGGATGGATGGATGACTTTTTAATCCACTCAATCGATACTAAAAAGCAATCAATAATTTTTTTAAAAATCATTCGTTGCAGCCCAAGTAAAGATCCAATTGCTCGAGTGTCCTTTAAAATGGCTTCTCCTCCACTACAACCAAGCTGCATATCATGAAATAAAAAATAAATATTTTTGAGCACAGTTGTTGACATTTGTAGATGTAATTAATAATTACATCTACAATGATTATGCTCTCAAATGGTGTCTTATCATATAAGCACACTTTCTTTTCCAACTAAAAAAATGTCCTAATCTACACAAGATTAGCAGGGAATTTGAGGAAAAATACTTACATTCGCCAACGGCGAATTAATATTTGCACACAGAATTAAACGAACAGCGACAAAATAAGTGCAATCAAGTTGACCTGGCCACCTGCAACAATACACTACAGTACTTGAGTATCCTACTGATTGTTATCAGACTTCCGTGTTCTGCTGGAAACTCCGCCCACCAACGACCAGGAAGTAGATTCACCTGAACTGATTGCCAACCAATGGCAGGGCACACATAGACGAACAACCACCGCACTGACAATCGCAATCATTGGGGATGTGGGAGGAAACCGGATTACCCGGAGAAAACCCATGCAGGCACGGGGAGAACATGCAAATGCCACACAGGAAGGCCGGAGCCGGAATCGAACCCCGCACCCCTGCCCTGTGAAGTGGACGTGCTCGTCAGATTCAGACTAAATTTTGATTTAAAATCAAATGTAACTAAGTGCAGGTGATTTATTCAGTAATAGTTTTATAAGTATGTATTTCACGTGCCGATACGTAGGCGATATGAAACGGGGAAGTGCTGAAGTATGTTTACCGTTCATTGTTGCTGGATTTTTTTTTTTAATAATCTTTATTAAACAAGTCAGAATACAATTCTCAGTAAACAGAAAACAAAACGAACATGTTTCATTGTTGCTGGATCAAATACAATATGCGTTGGTTGATGACGTTATATTTTTTTGAAAAATTGTTTAAAACGATGGTGCCTGAATTGTCCTGATTCTAAAATGACCCGCTGGAGAAGTACCTTGTGAAATTAATCATTGTAAACACCTTTTGAACCATAACAATTTGGCTATGTGAAAAACTTGCTTGGCAACCACTTACTTTTAAAACTTGAATTACGCAGTGCTGGGCTGTGCTTTTAAACAGGAGGAAGTTGTGACGGACGTACCAAGAGGGGAGATGCTGCCTCCAAGTGTTGAGCCAAGAAATTTCTCACGTTGTCATGATTGAGGGTTTGCGTTTTTGCAAGTCGCTTCGAATCATAATGGGCCATTTTTTTCTATAATGAAAGTCAACTGGTGGGCTCATATCGCTCAACAACATAAACCAATATCATGGTCGCAGCTCCCAGTGGGCAATCCCTGCAAATCCTATCTGACAATAAACAATAAAAGCCAGTTAATTTGCTATTACAATTTGTGTTTTTTCAGTGGTCAATGTGTGAATGAGTTCATTATGATGTGAAATCCAAACTGGTCAGGCCCTAATGCTTGTCATTTTTACTGGCCACCTCTGCTCAAATTGCCTACTTCCTCAGCTGAACAGTTCATACAATTCTACAAATATTAACATATTGTATTGAGAATTTGCCCAAAAGACAAATGTGACGATATACAATATGTATAGAGGATGTGAAATTTACTCAGTGATCGCTCGTACCTCACTGACTCCATTTAGAAACGTCACCAGCATTGTTGCATTAACACATTTGATCACAGCCGCTTTGGGCCAATTAAAAGCTGGACATTTTAAAATCAGACATCCCTTCCTGAAATCATTTTCTAACAGAGTACGAGGCAAGTACTGTATACAGTTGCGTGACATCCAAATATATTCAAAGTTATCTATTTGCAGTCAAGTACTCATTCACAGAAAAACAAATAATGCAAGCCTGGGTATAAGGAGACAATAGGTTATTTCGAAAAGCCATTTATTAAGAATCAAATGCATACACAAGCGTTGTAACATCTAAATCCACAGCAGTAAAATAACCATATCAACATAAATTTAAAAATAGGACAGCCACCTTATACCAGTTGCATATGATATCTATATTTATATTGCACTTATATTGAACTGTGTACAGCTCTCTTCTGTAACATTTATTTTTGTGCATGCAAACACTTTGTTTTTCTTCTTTCGACCCCCCAATTTTGCTGCTGTAGACTGGATATCATGTTGACGTTCAAATCTGGAAGGGTCTTTAAAGACCTACAACTTAGTTTTACCAAATACTGTAGTTTATACACATTTGAAAACTGCATCCGGGATGTAAACACTCACCTTCAGAGTGTTTACAGTAAAATATAGCGTCATTAAAAAAAAAAAAAAAACGGTGGCTGTGAAAAGAGCATTTCGAAGGACTATGTTACTATATACACAGTAATAAAGGGAAAGGACAGCTGGCAAAGTGTACAAAATTCAGACACATCCTTAACAATTGGCAAAAGGAATCCCTTCATTAATCCTGTAAAGGAAAATAAAATACTTGATATTGATCACACCTCAAACAAAATACAAATAAAACACTGTTGTGATATTGACATGCTTTTAGTAAGGGTGTTGTCGAAACTATAAAACAACCATTTGCATATATTTGGAACCTGTTTTTTCAAACTGGTATTTTCCCCTCAAAAGTGAAAAATGAAAATTATTCCCATCTATAAAAGTGGATTAAGACATCAATGTACAAGTTATGAACAAAAATCCCAACTCCCACAATTCTCAAAAATCCTACAAAAGTATACAGACTTGATACAGTCATTGAAAAACAATCCTTCAAGCGACAAAACGTTTTTAGGGAAAAAAAAAATGCAGTTGGTGTCTTTATAGATCTTAAAAAAAAAAAACAATACAGTATGGCCTAAGAGGGGATGCACATAAACGGGATGAGTTACAGTGATTACCAAAAGCAATGTTCAATTTAATAACAAAATCCAAGCTATTAAAGGTGACTTATGGGGTACCAAAAGGGTCTCTTAACATACCCTGAATTATTCATATGATATATATTTATATATGAGACATTTCTAGAATACTCAACTGTTTTATTTGTGGCTGATACTACTTTACTGTGCTGGCAAAAACCATGAGCAGTTTACGAAAACTGCTGTAGGTGAAGCGAAAATACTGAACCCCCCCCCCCCCCCAAAAAAAACACTACATTCAATTACAATCGTATATTATAACAAATTTCTTGGTATTTGATGCCAAGCTTTGTTGGAAGCCACATACTGTTTTGATGACATTAAAACATAAATGTCAGAAGTTCCAGCTATTCTTTGTGAAACTAAGCACGTCCAGAACAAAAGACCATTGGATAGAATTTATAGCTCACGATTACTTCCACATATGACATATGGAATTGAGTTTTGGGGCAATACATATTGTTTTTAAGATACAGTAACAAGTAATAAGAAGCATTCATAGAGCTGAATATAGAGCCAACAATTCCGTGATGTATTCATTTAAATACTTTGAAATTTTGTGACTTTTGTCAAATTCTTCTCTTGCCCAAATAATGTACATGATTGACTGTGTCGCAGTTTCCAGTAGCTTTTGGAAAAGACAGACACTTATTTGCAGGGAACTGGTGGCCTCAAAAACACAAAACAATAACAAACATAAAGCAAAGACATGTATCTGTCAAAGGTGTAAATTTGTGGAAAAATGATGAAAATGAATCAAAAATGTGTGGTTGAATTATTTCTTTCATAATAATTTTTAAACTGAGTACGGACTAAGTACATGAACCAAATGTTAAAGTGTATGAAAATGGACAGTTTGTGAAACTGTTTAAAATGACTTGATTCTAGTGTCAGATGATGAATCTTGTGTATTGGTTGTGTTGTGGTCATTAAGCTTATTTGCTAAAATGTTTTACGATGTTAAAAAAAAAAAAAAAGAGCGGAAGCTTGATTAAGTTGTAGCTTCTTCACCCTGTGCCTTTTGGATCGGCTTGTTTACCTGGTAAAAAATACTATACTGCCTTTTTTCCCTGATTGAAGTCGATGGAATAAATTAACCAACACCAACAACAGTGATGCTAAATTTACTTACAATATAAATGTTCTTCAATTCAAAAGTCAGCACCGCACTTCTGCTTTGGGTTCATCTGATGCTCCATGTCTAGTCCGCTTTACAGTCTATGCAAGACCTGCTCCACAAATGACACTTTCCAATAAACACACCAAACCTTTTGAAATCAGCTTTGTCTCCAATATCCCACTTTTTCTGTTGTGGGCCAGTGTGTGTATTACCTCATAACTCAGCACCTCAAAAGTCCAGCTGTGAAGTACAGCCATTTTAACAATTGATTGTTTTTTGGGGTTTTTTTTTTTCTACATCCAACCAAACAATTGAAATGACTTCAACGTATTTACAGGTCTTGATTTTCGTCATTCGTCACATATTCATTATTTTTCTGGGGGAGGGGGAGTCCAAAAGAGACTAATTAGGCCGGAGTCCCCTGAAGAGGCACATCGAAATGGACAAGGATATGAGCTGAAAGAACAGAACAGATGGATTTTAACATGTGGGTCATTTCAGACACAACCCCATCCCAAAATAAATGACATGGCAGCCGGACTTTAACAAGTGAGACAAGTTGTGAGATGTGTGTCGTGTTTGTGTTATACAACGACCACCACTAGATGGTGCGCTTCGGACATAAAAGACCGATGACGTTGCTATTTTCCCCATTTCCACGGCCAAAATGCAAACTCCTATTTGACAGAAGTGTCAAATTGAGGTCCAGAAAGTCAAACCTGCCACAGATTGTCTTTATACACTAGTGCTTTCATTTAAGAGCTCGTTTACCTGCCGTTTGAGTCTTGAGGATTTGTATTTTGGCCGCCGATTTGGGACTTTTCTGGTCAGTACATAGCAAAAGACAAGGCTGAAATACAAACTAAAATATCTCCGTACCTCAAAGATCATCACTATAATGACCAATGCTCCCGCGGTATACATGTAAATGGTGTAGGAATTGTAGAGTGCTTCGAAACAACCCTGTGGAGAAACAAAGAACGACAGTGCAGTCAAGGATAAATAAGCTGTAAACTTGCGGAACTGTCTAGACCAGGGGTCACCAATGTGGTGACTGTGGGCACCAGGTAGCACATCCATGTACCACAAGAGTAGCCTGTTCTAAAAATACCACAACAGTGATGGGACACCGTAAATATGAACAATCAGTTTTATCAAATGTGTGAGCATGTTGCGTATTTGTTTCCAAAATATTGTAAGACAACATGAACATAATAACGTAACTTGAAATAAATGAAGATCATGAACAATAATAAGTAAAAAAAAAACATTGGCATGACATGAATTTGCCCTTGAAAATTACACATTGGATGTTAAGACAAAGGGCGTTTAAAGATATTCTCTCATTCATGCTTAAGTCTTTTTTTTTTAAACAACTGTCTTGCTCACCTTCAGTGCCACATTTTCGTCCCAAGTCGAGCGCAAAGTGGAGTCTAATTGTGCACCTCGGTGTAGTTTTCTTTTGGTATTTTGCTCGACTTTGCACAGGAAATATTTGGGCGTAATGGTGCGTTTGGACTGTTGTGTGACTGAAGTAGCCTTTTCCCAGCCAATTATAGCCCCATCCCTCATTTGCATAAAAATCAGGGCGGTCGGTGTATAATATGCCCAAGTACACCATGCTTGATATTGCAGAAAAATAGAATCAGAGCTGTTCGAAGTGTGTGCATGACATTGGCGGGTACACTGAAAGGGAGACCTCTTTGTACCCACCAATGTACCATCACTATAAATGCCCATTTAATGTTTGTTTCAAAGGGGATCAAATTAAAGTGAAATATCAAGGAAATCTATTTTGTTACTCTAAACTATTTTGCAGATGCACGGACGATACTACTCCCCTGCCCAAGCAGAGATCATATTTGGGCTATTGATAACATACTGTTCAGATGTGTATAGATGAGTGCGAATTGAGCATTCACAGTTCAGATGCATTGGATTGAAATCCCATTGACAGTCCCCCTCACCACCACCCACCCACCCCCAGAAGTATTCGAAAAGCACGGTCAATTCTTGTCTTTGTTGCATACCCTACTTGTTGCATACATTAGAGTTTTAAATCAGAAAATGTTAAATCAGAAGATGAAAGAGACAAAAGTTCTGAATTCAAGCTTTCATTTCATGGTACAATATTTTTATTTAATGTGTTAACTCGGGATACAGTACAGCACTTATTGTTTGAAGCCACCTACTTTAAGTAAGCAAAGTATTGGAACAGACATATTTTTTTGAAATTAACTTAGGTGAATAACATTAATATTTGTGGCATGACCCTTACTTGCAATGACTGCAACAGGCCTCGGACCCGTTGACTTCATCAGACCGTTGCATTCTTCATTTGAAATGCTCTTCCAGGCCTTGACGGCAGCCTCTTTCAGTTCTTGTTTTAGGGGCTTTCTCCCTTCATGAGGTAAATTGCATACTCTTTTGGTTTAAGGCCCAAGGCCCAGACTTGGCCGGTCTAAGACCTTCCACTTTTTTTCCCATATAAAATCCTTTGTTATGCTGGCAGTTGGCATTGTCTTGTTGCAGGATGAAACATCTCGACAAAATGGTTTTGTAGACTCCAGAATTCTGTTTCTACCATCATCTATCCATCCATCAATCCATCATCCGAACCTCTATATCGTCACAAGGGTCGTAGGCGTGCTGGAGCCTATCCCAGCTGTCTTTAGGTAGTAGGCGGGGTACACCCTGAACTGGTTGCCAGCCAATCACAGGGCACACAAAGAAACATCCCATCCATCACACCTAAAGACGATTTAGAGTGTTCCGTCAACTTACCGTGCATACCTATGGAATGTGGGGAAAAAACAGAGTACCCGGCGAAAACCCAAGCAGGCACGGGTAGAACATGCAAACTCCACACAGGAGCCCGGATTCCATTATGATGAATTACATAAACAATAAAGAGAGGAGCAGTCATGCAAGCCCAAGCCATGACATTACCCCCACCATCCTTTACAAATGAGCTTGCGTGTTTTGGATCACAAGTGGATCCTTTCTTTCTCCAAACTTTGGGCTGCTAGAGTCTGATGAAGTCAATGAGTTGCAGCATTTGAAGCAGTTATGGCAAGTAAGGGTTATGCCACCAAATATTAAATGTTATTCACTCAGTGAATTTCATCTTGTCTGTTTCAGTACTTTTGCTCACTGGAAAAGTGGATGGTCCCGAGTTGTAGAAAACATTGAGATGTAAATAACATGAAATAAAAGCTGAAATTCTGAACTTTTGTCTCACACTCATCTTTTGATCTGAAACCCGAACATCTTCATTATACAACAAAAACAAAGCAATTGACCTTGCAGTTTCAATACCTTTCAAGGGGATCGGAAAGAGGCCAGGAAGGGTCGGATTGGGGGGGGGGGGGCACCCTGATTTATTCCATTCACTTTGCAAGAAAAACAATCAGATATATGTTGCATATGGACAAACAAAAATTGGAATTGACCTGCAGTGTGTTTATTTAACAAGTACCGATTCATATGCGGTGGTCTTGTCGCACGTGGTGGCGCGTCTCCTGCAGCAGGCGAGGGGAACTTTGCTTGGAAAATCTGAGGCGCCTCTTATGCCACAACAGCTGAACTGAAATGAGACAAGAAGTGTACAACAGAAGCATTTATTACTGTGCTGGCCAAGAATCGATGAAATATGAGTCCCCGTGACTGGTTTTTGTGTATGGGGTGCACATGTTGACATGTGCTTGAGACGTACATCATGCATAATTTTCCTCCACACCGCTGTGTAATGGTCTTGCAAGTTTTCGTGCTGATATTTAGAGACTAACGTCGCACTTAACGATTCTTGAGATAACTGAAAGAGACAGAGAATATTCACAGTACAGTAGAAGGAAAAGTATCACCGTTTTACAAAACGAGTCACAATTACCAGAATTGGAGCTTACCGTTCCCCACTGTGTGAAGGCAAAAATCCCAAAACCTAGCTGTGCTAAGAAGATAGAGGTGATGAACGCGAAATACTGCAACGAGACCGAAGGACACAGAAGGGAGTCAAGACAGTGTTTGCTTAAAAATCAAATAAAAGTGCTTTTACAACCATCCCAAAAATGCCATTCAAAAAAAGATAGACACTGAATATCGAACGGCACATTTGAACGATGCCCTTCAATCAGTCAGAGTGTGCGCTCAGAGACTATTTCAGGAAGGCAGCCACTCTCGGGAGTGGCTTTAGGGCACCGGAATGAATTTCAGAACACACCCTAGTGGACAAGAATTTTTGGTGCGAGTCAAAGCTCTAATTTTAATAAATACAACTCGTGCCTGAGTATAAATTGGAGGACCATACAAACTATGAAAAAAAAAATGTGATAAAAAAAAAAAATTTTCAAAATACAGTAATTGAAGGAACCGGGTAAACAAACATTATCATGAAAATCTCAGGAGCAAAGAATAGAGGACAGCAAAATAAAATAATATTCATGGATAAAGTTCTGTTATGAAAACTACTTACTTCTCCCAAAATAATCAATTTATTTATCATTTGAAATACACAAAGGGACCTTGAAAAATAATTGCCACAGTGGCAGTATATAAAACCCTACTCTTGCACAGAAAAATTGTTCAAATCTTTCAGCATAAAAGGGAAACAGATTGTACATTCTACATTACCTAGCAACCAAAAAGGACATATTTAAAAAAAAAAAAAAAAAAAAATCCATACGGAATCCGATAACTAAAAAAATAAAACAAAATAAACACAATTCATTTGCTTTTCAAAATCAATGAGGCCTAGCACAGTGTAATATCAATGTCATGTACTTACGAGAAGGAGCACACATCTATTTTCACGGAGGGCTCCGCACCAGCCCAGGAAGCCCAGAAGGAAGAGCAAGGATCCGACGGCCATCACAAAGTGGAGGACTTTTGAGAGCAAGGGGTGTGTCTCGATCAGGTCACCTACAATTCTCGTGCCCAACACCACCAGCAATCCTACACCCAAGAGTAAAACCCCTGCCACCTGACAAAGGGATGTGGGGTGAGGCCACAAAATGATTGCATTCGAAACGTAAGGAACCATCGGATTAAAGGCACACTCGAACATCTCAGTGCAAAACAACAATGGGGGTTGTCTTATCATCTTGGCAGTCATTCTTTATGTACCAGAAAAATGATGAATAAGACTGCAGTGCATAGTTTCAGGCAGAGGCTCTAAGACTGCAAGAGAAGCTCAGCTTCCCCTAAAATGTCAAAAAAATAAGTGATCAAATATATGTGTGTGCATACAATTGTGTGTACATGTCATTGACTAAATATGCGCTACACGTGCTCAAGTTTTGTTCTGAATCAGCTTCTTATTACTGGTTACGACGCGACTCTCTTCTCATTCATTCCCGTAGCTTCACTGTGCTTTAAACTGCGTGGACGCTGAGTGTCGACCGCGCGGACGCTGGGCGACTAGAGAGTTCAGTGTAGGTTGTTCCAATGCATTGAAACGAGACGAGTCATTGAATAAATGCTGGTTTTGTCCCGCCCATCGGACGCTCAGCGTATGGGCTGACCCGGACGCTCAGCTTTTCTGCATGATGATTGGATGATCTGTCTGAGGCTGAATCTCTTTTTGATTGACAGCAAAATGAGCCAATCCCCGATCCTATGGTGAAGGCATCCTTTTCATTTTTTTGAAAAGGAACGGAGAGTAGAATTCACGTATTAATAAACGGACACATTTTATGATGAAGGCCGAAATTGCGCTTCCCCTCCCTGACGGACCAGCATCCGCCACTGGTAGAAACGCAAGGCCGATTAGGCTTTAAATGTGCCGCTCAGTTGCAGAGAAGAGGAAGACATTTTTGAAAGTTCACAGACCTCATATGGTCACTGAGTGTGAAAGAGCCACAGAGAAAACACAAAGGGAGGGTCATCATCGCTACTTTCGGGATGTTAGCTAGCTTGACGCTTTGCTCTGCTGGTTGCATGTTGCCTTCAGCAAGCAAGTCACAAAGAGCTTTGGTTGTGCCAAATAAATCAATCATAAAAGCAGAAAACCTGCTTGCTGTGCCCCCCCCCCCCTCCAAACTCACAGTTAGTCGCCGTTGATTGTTTGATCAAGTTTGTTAAACTCAAGGTACCAGTCATAGACTCCATACGGCACAAAGTGCCTTGGATATTTCACCACACTGGAATCTAATGAAAGATAGACTTTAATAAAATAAATATTGGCCCCATTTCACAAAATGCAAAAGTGGCGACTGTCGGGTCAGTCACAGGGTCTTAATTTACTTGATTGACACAACCTTACTCAAGGCCACAGGAAGAGAGATTCGGAATACTTACAAAAAAGAAGGTATTGAGGATTAACATGAGATACTTGACGCTTTTCAGACAGTCACCCGTCATGACTGTTTTATGTCGTGACGGCTGCACGACAATCGCCTGTCAAAACAAAAACGCCACTTAATGAAACAAGCAAAAACCTCCCAGGTGCAGTGAATTGTGTTGTTTGTGCGCTCCAAGTTACGGCCGCTAAAATGAGACGGATGCCAAGTAAATATTTGAAAAAATACAACAAAAACAGTTTTACAATTAACTGTGCAGCAAAAATTACTAGCAAATGAACAAAACATTTTCCTCAGATGTGATACTTTGCCATACTTTCAGTGCACATACAGACGGATGGGGTTTTTTTTGGCAGTGGCGGTCCTAGCTTGAACAGTGCAAGACGCCCTTTTGGTTTGTCCCATTTTTTGAGGAATGCTGAGGTTTCATGCCCCCCACCAAAAATGCATTGCAACATGTTTTACATAGTTATGATAGTTATTAGAGGTGTCAAATTATCGCGTTAATTGCGAATAATTATAGTCCTATTATAGTCGCGTTAATCAAAATTTTAATCGCCAACTTTATTATTTCTGTATCTGGGTTGCCTTTTTATAATATCGCTTTTTGTGTGTTGTCTTCCTGTGTTCGAGTTGTTGAGTGTGGGGAAACAATGGTCAGTCACAGTCTGAAGCGGACATTGATCGGCTGTCATTATGTTTGGGCGTGTTTAGTAGAAGCTGATAGGCTCCCATTGGAGTTGGGAGGGCCAGCTAAGCAGCAGTGAGGAGGCCCAAGGAATGGAACATTTACATTCGAAAAACGCCCTGACTGCACTATTGATGAAGTTAGTGTGTTGTGCCTAATTTGTAAGAAGGAGTTTGCTTACCACTGAAGCAGCTCAAGTTTAGCCTACCACATCAATGCAAAGCACCCAGTCGCGAGTGCAGCAACAGCTAACGTTAGCACCGAAAGCATTAGCAATGTAGCGAGTCGGAGCAAACTAAACTCGAGAACACCCGCGTATGAGGCATGAAGTCAGCATCGCTGCTGTGTCCTCTGTAGCCTGCTAGAAGTGATTTACGTTGATCTCAGCACTTTGCTTTGTGTTATTTCTGAAGTGCGAACTTGCAGCACTGATTTAAAGGTCTGTTTTATTTATTTTTTATTATCTGAAGCAAGTTCAGTATTGAGTACTTGTATTGCTCAGAAAAGTGTTCTGTTTTTGATATGTTAACCTAAGCACTTTTTAAGGACCTGATGTTCTATTATATTTTTACTTTGTAATTCTTTGGAGATTTACAAAAACAAACAAAACATTGATATTCCCCCTCGTGGTCGAAACTAAAGGTTGCAGGTCGGACTTGGGACAAGTTTCAAATACAGCTGAAAGTAAATGGCTAGGATTGCATCTGTCCAAGTCTGTTGAAAAACAATAAAATACATTATAATGCAATTTTGATCTGCCTCAATAATGTAATGATTTTAAGATGAAAATAGGGCTTTTCTCAGCAATTTTTAGGTGAGATTAAAATATAGATTAATTAGATGAATTACAGATCATAATTAATTAATCTCATAATTTTTTTAATCGCTTGACAGCATTAACAATTATGTCGAATTTTTAGATGTGCTTTTTTTTCCCCCCATTGTGACAGTACTTGGATGTGTTTTACTTACATGATGGTAGTGCCGCGAGGGTGGAAACTGTTCTGTGCGGAGTGACTCTGGCCGGCTTCCATAAGAAGCAGGCTCTACGCGAGTGCGCATCTTCCGTTGTTGAATGGAAAGAGCTTCTTCCTCAGCAAGCTCAGTGCACTCTGCTTTTCCTAATGTGAAAGGAGCAATGGTTATTTTCTTTTTGGTTCTTCAAAATTGTATTATTATTTTACTGTGCGTACAGCAGTTGTGCAAACACGATATAAATTGAGTATGACTTTGTCACTGCAGTGCATACGCAGCCCTGCCATTCCCAGTTTAATATAAACGAGCTAACTTTAGCAGCTGCCCAGGAATGGAGACTCTTCGAACAACAAGGACGTCATACCTCATTTACATTGAAAATCTCTCACTTCAATGCAAATTCCGCCAATGAATGGCAATGATTTACATTTCACGATGCTATTAGAACACCCTTGACACACCAGAAACCGTTGTGGGGATTTCATTGTACATGGAAACGCAGCCTGTCATCAAAAACATTAACATGCAGCATAAATAGGAACAAGCCTGCTCCACAGCGGCTGTGTCCAAATACAGGCTGGGTCCTCGAAGGCCGCATTTTCAACGGCAAGACGCCACTTCCAGTGCGACTCCACTACACGTGGTGTCCAAATTCACATTAAACCTGTCCAAATTCGCCAGGTTAATCCACGGAGGTTGCATGAGGAGGAGACTTTGAAGGCGTTGAAGGACTCAGCCTTTGAATTATAGTATTTCTCTCGAATGTGTAAAGCACGTGGGGTCGTGTTCCGCTGAAAGTGACGTCACGTAGTCGAAAAAATGCGGCTTGTGTGGACGCAGCCTGTGAATTACGACACAGCGAGAGACTTTCTTAGCAAATAATGCTGCCTTACATCTCACAATGTCAGTGGGAGCCTTTACATTGAGAAATACAATAATCGCAGAGCCTGTTTACAGCCTTTCAGATGGGAAGAAATGCCTAAACTCCACTGTTTACTCATTTTTGTTGTGAACTGCAAAATAGTTTTGTTTCCTAAGGCTCAGAGGTGCACCATGACTTAGACCAGGGGTGTCAAACTCATTTCACATTGTGGGCCACATACGGACTCGGTAGATGTCAAGTGGGCCGAACCATTAACCTTATACTATACTGTGCTATGAATCACCAAAATATCATCTCTTTCCTTTGTTTTGGTCTCAAGAAACATTGATTGGCGCTTTCATATCATTTGCTGCGTTGGGTCTATCTCGGCAAGAGACTGAGACTGCTGTTTTCTTCCCTGATCAAAACAGTGTGCCCCCCTAGCGGATAATCCATGAATTGCATTTTATTTAAAATATTCATTCTGTGTCTTTAATGCATTATTTTCCCAATTTTAAATGATCCCGCCGGCCGGATCGAACCTCTTTGGGGGGCGTTTCCGGCCCACGGGTCGTATGTTTGACACCCCTTGACTTAGACATATAAATCTCATCAGATTTTTTTTTCATATTAAGGCTGCATGATTGTGGCCAAAACAATCATCACAATTATTTCGATCAAAATTGGAATCATTAATCTGCACTTTTTTTTTTTTTTTGCACGTTGCCAAAGTTCCCGTCAAGCTATGTGTTGAACCAACTGCACGCAACTATTGCACTATTGACACGTTATTTCGTAAAAATGCTGTTTGTGATACTTACGAAGTTATCCAACCTCCGTCTCCAAACGTGTTTTCTGCGAAACACAATGTAGTGACAGCTTACAAAAACTTTCAACCCTACACAAGACGTTTTACGCAAAGTTATCTCAGAGCAGCAGCAACAGGTGATGTCAACTCCATAAGTACTGGCTACCAGTAGTAAAGGCCAGGGGACGCAACAACGTGTGCTAAAACGTCAGCTTCTGTGCTCACCTTTGTCGGCTTGAGGGCACTGAAAAAAACGTTCAACGTGCGTGACAACATCGTCCATTCATCCGTTTGACGTTCACAGCCCGCGTGGGCTTTGCTGGTTTGAATAATCGAGGAAAACACAGGCAGCACGCTTGCGCGTTTTTGGGGCGGGGGCGCAAACGTGTCGATTGCGTCACCAGAACGCCCGTTTGTTTGCATCTTGGTTTGTATTTAGTTTAGTTTAGTTTTTTTTTTTTTTTTTGGACCGGAACACATGAATGTGACGTGGAACGTTCCACACTAAGGCCGTGTCTTTTGGGCCAGATGGTGCATTTTCAGTGCGCACAGTATTTGTTAAGTAAAAGTAAATTATTATTTTGATATTCGACCCCTGATGGGCTCAACAACTGAGGAGTTAATAAGCCTTTCTAAGAAGAAATCCTGCATGATGCATTTAGGAGGACTACTGTATACCCAACTGAAGATCAGCACGTCGAGATTGACCCTCCCTTTGGGTAGTTTGCATGTTCTCAACATACAAATCCTGTCTCCCACACCCCCCCCCCCCCAAATGCCTGTTTAGCTAATTATAACTAAAGAATATTAATTATATGTAGTCACTGATTTTTGGGTACAGTGTAAGCCTTTTTTAAATTAAACGCTGCATCCCTCTCAATCGTAACACCAATTAAAAATGACTGCTGAGTACCTGTACAACTAAGTGCCTTACTTAACCACATTCAGATTATGAGCAAATTGACCCCCGTGAGGATTAAGTGGTTCAGAAAACAGATGGATGGACGGAAAAACACATATTGCCACAAGAACATATGTATAGGGATGTCAAATTTTTGTGACATCACAATCATAACATACCTTTTAAATCGGCCAAAGTTAATCTAGGGAGAAGTAATTACTTTACAATGTTTGTTTTATTGACACTCCTGTCACCATATGAACAGTTTTTTTTAAATATGATATAATTTTTTTCCTATTTTTTAATGTACTCTAAAACAACAGCTCACAAATCCCCAGTAAGAGAATCGCTGCTCTAAACTGCGCATAAATGTGAATGTCGAAATGTGCTCTACGATTGGGTGCTGACCAGTGAGAAACACGTCGCAAGTGTGGATAAGTGGTATGGATTGCATGTCTTGATGGATGAGCTGCGCCGCGCCCGCGCCAAGGCGTAAGTGATTGTTGTCTTTCTGCGCCCTTCAATTGACTGGTGACTAACCCAGTGTCCGCCTCTTGCCCAAAGTCAGCTGGCCTCGGCTCCTGTTCACCTGCCACCCAAATGAAGACGCTTACTCTGGAAAACGGAAGGATGGATATCTTGACTGAAACACACACGTGGAATCAAAAGAGAAATCCATTCAAATAGCCCACATGCATTCACATTTTCAACACTCAATTTACCATGCTTGTATCATGATTCATAGTACCGGTGGGATGTAATAACAAATGATCACAAACCAGCTTCACATTACCACCAGAAGCCAGAGCTCAATAATGAGGGCAAACCTACATTCCTCCCCGGATGAGGAAAAGCATTTGGCATTGTTGCTAAGGCATCCCCATGCTCAACAATGAAAACCAGATCTGGCATCTACGGCACTCGACCGGCCATGACGGCGGCTTCAACTGGCTGAAATTGTAAGATAAGGAAGAACGAGTATGCTGAAAATTGCACAGCCCGAGCTGGTTCTCCTTTGAGGATGACACTCAGCATGATTAATGAAGTTAGTCCGTACTCGCTTGCTCCAATCTCCACCACACGGACAAATGGATGAAAAGAATCAGGGCACTGTGTCACCCCTTATAGCAGCAACAACCAATCAGCTTCATCTTGAGCATGATGCTGAATAACAATTAATCATCAGTGCTGAGACCATGCTGAGATTGTACAAGGAAAAACACTTAAAAGTCATCTCTTTCAATTTGACCCATGGGACAAATCAAATGTGATTTAACATTGCAGTGTTTGTCACTCTCACCGCTCCAGGGTGGGCAAACAATGTCCAAGGAAGCCGACGCGTGCCACGTTATCCTTCAGTTCAATTAAAAGCCGATTTTTGTCATTTAGACACAGCAAGTAAACACCCCAAAACCTGGAATGAAGATGGACTCATCATCTGGGTAAGAAAGGCTCCCCGAAGGCATACCGTGCGGCTTACTGAAACTCTAATAACGAGAGAATGAGTCTGTCATTATCTTTGTTTTCAGTCCCAGTGCTTTAAAACTGGCAATTTAAAAGCAATAGAAAAAAATGGTTGCCGGCCCGTGAACAGCATGTACTTGTCTCAACTGGTCCGTGACACAAAAAAAGGTTGGGGACCACTGGAGTAGATCACTTCAGGGGCCACCGAAGACGCACGTCCGAAACTCACCGTGCATCTCTGGCGAGAACTATATTGCATCTGCCAAGGTTGCTCTCATGGGCAATCTCAAACCAAAAAAACACACACGCAGCATTTTTTTTCATAAAAACCATTGACAGTTCACTCTAAGTGCATGAGGATCACATGTTTATTAGGTTCACGTGTGACTGGAATCTAATCCATCAGATTTTGGATTACAGAATCTACACCGACTGCACATCAGCCAAACGCAAGGCAAGAATGAATTTATTCACATTAAAATCATCAGAACAAGATAACAAAGAGACACAACAGGTTATTTCGAATGCCATTTATTAAAGATCAAATGCATACACAAACATTTCAACACTTAAATCACATAACAATAAAAGAGTAGCCATATAAACAGAAATTTAAATCACGTTGACGTTCAAGTCCGGAAGGGTCTTTAATTTTAACATCACATGCTCACAAAATTGTTCATACACGTTTGAAAAATGCATCCAGTTTACTCGCGCACACACACACACACACACACACACACACACACACACACACACACGCACACACACACACACACGCACACGCACACACACACGCACACGCACACACAGAGAGAGCTTATCCAGTATAATACATACAGCATGATAGAAATATGGCTGTGAAAAGGGCATGTGGAAGGATTGTGTTACTATGTACAGTAATAAAGGGAAAGAGTAACAGCCAAAGTGTACATAAAAAAATCAAAACAAAACAAAACATCTAACAACTAAGCCAAATTTACTTCATATAAATATTCTTTATCCAAAAGTCAGTGCAGTGCCTTCTGCTTTGGGTTCATCTGATTCTCACATCCGGTCTACTTTGCACCCAGTCTGTGCAAGACCTAGTCCACAACAGACACTTTTCACTGACCACACAAAATCTTTTTACATCATCTTTGTCTCCGATATCCCACTATTCTCTGTTAAGTGGCAGTACGTCTATTACTGTGTTACCCAGTACCTCCAAAGTCCAGCTGAGAAGTACAACAATTGAAGGAATGGAATTTTTTTTAACCTCAACCAAACAATTTCAATTAACAATTTCAAAGTACTGTATTGGTTTTCTTCTTTCTTCACATATTCCCTATTTTTCCTTGGAAAACAAAAAGTCCAAACAGACTACAGAGATTGGAGTCCCCTGAAGAGGCACATAGCCACGGACATGGCAAGAAGCTGAAGAAAAGAACAGAAGTCCTTTACCATGGACAAATGGATCATTTCATGCACAAACATGCAGTCTAACAAAATCGAATTAAACAGAAACTCAAATTAAACATTTGTGTTTGTGCACCACAACCACCAAGAGGTGGCGAGCTTTCCACAGTAAAGACTTGGATGATGTAAACAGTTTGCCATTATTATAAGTTTTCTCAAAAAATCATCAGCATATGGCAAAAAAAAGTACTAAAGAAAAATACGAAAAGTATTTAAAAATATAAATATATTTTACTTTGTCTAAAAGACAAACGAAGATATTTCCATACCTCAAAGGTCAGCACCAGAATGAACAACGCTCCCGCTAAATAGAGGTAAACTTCATAGGTTTTGAAGCCTGCTTTATAACAACCCTGTGGACGCACACACAACAAAGGATCAATAAGTTATAAACTGACAGAATTGCACTTGACAACGACAAATTGTTATCTCAAACGAATGGAAAATGTCTGGACAAAGGCGTGGCAGGTTCAGATGATTTTTCGAAACGCGTTGATGATTTTTCACATTGTTTGTCAGCTTTTGCTTGAGTAGCTTTCATTGTGTCAACCTATTATTGACTAGTCAATCAATTAATTGTATCATTGGATAAAAATGTATTTTTTCATTCAAGTTAATTGCAAAATATTTTTCCCACTGACTGTTTTTTATTTGGGATCGTTTGATGAATGAACAAAACCGACTAAACAAAAATGAAACAATATCACATGGGATGGTGCGGTGTAGTGCTGACCAACATTTTTTCAAACCCAGCGACTTGGGTACTGATTAATATGAAGTGCTACTAGATTGATATTCATGTAAACTTCTGAGGCTGCTTCAGGTTGTCAATTGTGGATTTTGCATAATACAGCTGGAAAAAATGGATTTTTCTTTGCAATATATGAAACTTTTTCCATATGGCTCACTTTACCACTTTCAGGGACAGTGGTTACGACAGTGGATAGCTACCCATGTTATCAGGTTTCAGGGTGCACGAAAGGATTCAATCACAAACCCGGTGTGACATCATTCACAGTGATATAATTGTAATGATTCAAAGAACAAAAGCCCGGGGAAGAACTGATTCGACCAAGGAGAGTCATCAGAAAGTACCTGTACGTTGATATGATCTTGCGAGCCATTCAGGCATTTATCCCGATCAGCATGCTCCAAATTCCCAGTCGGGCTCCGCTGCAGGCAGCAGGCGGGTGGGACTGTGTGATTGTATTTTCTACGAAACAGACTGCCCTCAAAATCTTCTAAACCATTTATGCCACAGCACTCATGCTGAAACGAGACAACAAAAGTACAATAAAAGCATTTATTACTGTGTTGGGCCGGGGTGTAATTTATGAACTATGAATCGTAGTGACTGGTTGCTGGGTACAGTGTGCTAGGATGTTGCATACGATACACATGCGGTCTGTACTTACTTGAACCATCCATTTATTCCATATTGTCGTGTACTTATCGTCGGGGGCGTAGCCCTGGTACTTTTCGCGCATCTCTTTTTGTAAATCTTCAACAAAGAACTAAAGCAGGCAGAGAACAAGTACGAGATTGACCAAAGAATAAAGTATCATCATGTTATGAAGAAAAACAAATGTGAAACCATAGGGTGAAAGAGACACTGTATGTTACCTTTTGACGCTGTGTGTAGGCCCAAACTCCAGCGGCCAGCTCTGCTATGAAGACGATGAAGATGAGCATGAAGAACTGCAACAAGATGAGAGAACCCAGCGGCGACTCAAATCAGTGGAGGAAAATTTTGGATTGAAATCCTATTCTGACCAAATCGCCTTCACTCAATATTCACGATCCGTGGCCTCACGCAAAACCTCTGATCTGAAATCGCAGCAGGTGTCAATATCATTTACTTACAAAGAATAGCAGACACCTATTTTCACGGAGGGCTCCGCAGCAGCCCACGAAGCCCAGAAGGAAGAGCAAGGATCCAATACCCAGCACGGCGAAGACGGTTTTTGAGAGAACGGGGTGTTGCATCAACATTTCACTCAACACTGCTGTGCCAAACAACACCAACAATCCCACACCGAGGAGGAAACACCCTGCCATCTGACAAAGGGACATAAGGGTGGGGGCAATTGAAGGAGCCAGAAAAATGGTACATTATAAATTCATGGAAACACTGGATAAAATGCAGACGAGAGCAATTTGATGTGGGGAGTGCAGAAGAGAACAACAATGGAGGATATATATTAGCATCTGGTCTTTCATTTTGGCACAGTCATTCATCTGTACCAGAGAAATTACTAATCAGATCCAATGTGATTAGCTCTCGTGCGATGCTGTGATGAGATCGCTCGTCGGCCTCCACACTCCCGCTCAGGGTTCAATTGTACCACTCTGTCGCAGAGACCTTGAAAACCCCCGAAAGCTCTTATGGCCACCGAGTGTGAAAGGTCCGTCGAGAAAACACAAAGAGATAGCAGTCGCCGTTACGGAGAGATGTTCACTCGACTATTTGCTCTTGCTGGTTGTGCATTCCCTTAAACAAGCGCATCTTGAGTGGAGTCATTAAGAGCTTTGGTTGTGCCTAATAAATCAGGGAAGGCGATAACGTCCTTACTCAGCCCCCGGACTCACACTTAACAGGATTACCCTTGATTGTTTGATCGAGACTGATAAACTCAGGTGCCTGCCACAAACTCCTCATGGCACAATGCGAGTCGGATGTGTGTCCGCACGCGAATCTAATCAACGCGAATCTAATCAAAGTGGTGTTTAATAAAATCCAGATTGTTCCAGTGTAATAAAATGCAAATGTGGCTACAATCAGTCATTCGGTCGCCATGGTCTTAATTCACCAGCCTGACACCAGTTTCACTGAAGGCCACATGAAGCGAGATGAGAAATACTTACAACAAGGAAGGTGTTGAAGATCAACATGAGGTACTTGACGCATGTTAGACAGTCCCCCGTCATGACTGTTGTCCCTCGCGCTGAAGCCTCTCCATGTCCCTGTACAAACAAACAAACACGCCACTTCAGCAATACGGCACAGCCAAAATCTCCCCGGCACAGTATTCCGCGTTGTCTTGAGCACTCCAAGTAGGCACTGAAACATGACGGCCAAGAAAATCCGATTCTATCAAAATAAACACACACCTTCCAGTTCATTTGGTTTCAGTCAAGTGAAGAACACGTTTGGACTACACACGCCAAATACGAAGTTGCTTACCTTGGCGAACGGGACAATTCACAAATCACACATTTTACTCAAAGGCCCGATTGCTCCTCAGTGCAGCCTTTTGCAGAAGAAATGGTGACTCTTGGTTTAGAGGGAACCAAAGGATTGTCTATCAGGAAACATTTCAAAGATATGACTATTCTCTCTTGTTAGGGCAGTGGTCCGAAACCCCCAGGCCATGGACCATTTGGTACCGGGCCACACAGAAAAAATAAATAACTCAAATGACTTCAGTTTTATTCATTTCGGAATCTGAAAGATATTTTATTTTGAAAAATTAACAGATTCTCTGTTACATCGGTCTACGGTATGTCACTCTTGACGCAGGTGAAGGCGCACTTCTCCGTCACGTGATCAGTTACTGCTTAAAAAAAAAAAAAATATATATATATATTTTTTTTTAATAGTGAGCTATATCGTCTTTATTCCTAATCATCACACTCAATATTGCAGATGTGACGGGAGCCTCTGTGCTATGTACAAGATTGCGAGCAGCTTGAAGGCTTACTGGGAAATTGATTTAGAGCAGCAGCTTAACACCTCCTCGAAATCATAATGATATGCTCAGGTATTGATCACCTTCCGGGCGCTTCTCGGAGAGCAACCAACAGCCTCATTGCATGAGATGGGTTTTTAACTAATCCCTCTCTGTACTAAGCTCTGCTGAAAAGCGTAATGAGGGCACATGGGGGCTAAATTGAGTTTTGCATACATTACACTAACGGAAAAAAAAAAGGTGTCATGAAGGGGGCTTCTTTTATCCTTCCTGCAGTGCATTGTCGAAGCGTGACTGTGTTCATTGTAGCAGGGGATAAGGAAAGAGGAGGGGCTTCATTACAATCTCTACACAAAATGGCACCTTGGTGCTCTTTACAACAGAGAGAAAAAACTGTTTTCTGGAGGTGGGGAGTGTTTGCCATGATCTGTCTTGCATGTTGTAATGCGTTAAAAAAAAAGATTAGTCAAGAAAAGAAATTAAATAAAATAAAAAGAAAGAAAAAAATAGAAACATTGAAAAAAGTCTACAGATTTTTGGAGATGTTAAAAGAACTAATATTAGCCGCTTTATCCATCGGGCCCTAATGCATATTATAACATTTATTTATTTCTTTATTTAAAATTGTGCACTTTTAGTTATCATTTGTAAACTCTTACAAGTACTGTAAGCCTCGACTGGAGTGATGACAGTGTACTTTAACATCCTTCCAAGAGATGATAGAACTCACGGATCGACAATTTCAAAGACTCGCTCTGTGTCATCCACCGCACTTCAGAGTCGACCACATCCTCTACATGCCTGGTGGGTAAACGTCGAGCTGCTAGTTCATTATAAACGGTAGCTCGTACTCCTCCGCAGAAATCGATGCCGACTCTCCTGATATGGAGCGTTTGGGAGGGGGAGAGTCTCTGATGGCATCCTGCCTAACTAATGCAGAGGACATGTGATAAAGATGAATAGATGCTTCAGTGGTACGATTCAGCTGTATACGAGTGCAGTATTTGCCAGATTTTATTGAGCCAAGGCACATTACTTACATTCCAAAAATGTCACAACGCGTCATCAAAACAAAAATAAATGGGCCGTACCGATATGTATTTTATTTTAGGTTGATTACGATATTTGGCACAATAAAGTTCTAAACTATTATATATGATGAATAATATTTGTTTGTGTTTATAGACAAAAATCATCGTGTGTGTGTGTGTGTGTGTGTGGGGGGGGGGGGGGTTGAATGTTGAATCTTGGTCTTGTTTTGTAATGACTCAATGCGTAAAAAAATTGTTAGGGTGGTTCTGTTTGTGACCAACAGGTGGCACTGTAAGGCTCTTCCTGCAGTGGCACACCTGTTGGTCATTGTGTCATTAGTTCATGTTTCTGTTCAAACCTCATTCAGTACCAGCCAATTCTAGACCAAGTCTGAAAAGACGTTTAAAAACGTCTTTGGGAGTGAATGAGTTAAAAGGACTCCCTGCCCGACCAGTTGGTGTCGGGTCATTGTGTTTTTCATCGTTTATGTCTGCCTTAGTTTGTATTTTTGTTCAATACATCTTGTTAAATCCACCCTGCTCCTCCCTGCTTTTTTTGGGGGGGTCTTCCAACTTCCATCACGCAAAACCTAACAAAAAATAATAAAAGAGCCACTGTTGGGTGATTCAAGTGACTGACTGATTCATTGATTAAAAAGTATCAAGCGGATACTCTCACGATCTCCTCTCACTCTGCTCACCAAATCGCTAATCCGAGCCTATTTAGTTGAACACAAAGCGATGATTCTCAATGGGTTAATCGCACCTTCCGCCACCCAGCGGGAGAGCATTTCATCGCGCTGCCTGTCACGATACATCGGTGACACAAACAGATGAACAAAGGTAAATGACTTGCAAAGAAATCATTTTTCACTCCAATGAAATGAAATTGGATCTTTTTTAATCGCAGCCCACCGGATGATCTCTCGGTACACTCGTCCGCTGTCGGGGAAATCAACGCACTAATGTGTGCGCGTGAGTGTGTTGTCTGTGTGTGTGTGTGTGTGTGTGTGTGTGTGTGAGATCATGACATTTTGTAATTTTGGAGAAACGGTCACTCAATTGCGTCAACGTCATGATTGGCTTGATGACGGATAATAAACCACGCGTGAGGACTTGGGTCAACAGCAAGTCACATGCTCACTGATACAGTGATCGCCTGGAGCTCCTGCTCTCAATCTGCTGCGTGTCCACCGAGTGAGGGCATGTTGTGCTACAAGCGGACAATGAACACATAAACGCTTGTGCCATGCGGCCTGGCTCTACTCAAATCGAGCATTTCCCACGGCCTCTTGCGAGGGCGCGCTGCTCTCGGGGCTTTCCCGGTAATTTAGCTGTAACTCGATTGAAAATAAACGCTGAATGATGTGATGTGTCATGACAATAAGGGGAATATTTGTCTGCACTTTGGCTTCTGACAGTACAGCAGAGCTTCTGGAATCTGGAACACCTTCAAGGATGTATCATTTAAAGTTTAAAAAAAAAAAAAACAGTTTTCGGTAGAAACTACAAGTCAGTGTGTCCTCATTTTTTCCTGAATGAATGAATGACCATTCTCAACAAGTGCTGAGACCAGTGGTGGTCTGTTAGGCTCAACTCGTCCTTCTCCACGGCCTTAAACACGATTAGAAACACTGACCTACAATTCGCCTATATTTAGCAACATGAAAAGATTTCCCGGAAATGACAATCTGTCAATGCTGAGTCTGGTTGGACGGACCGCTTCAACTTCAAGGCAGCCCAAAAAAAAAGGATGATGGGTTCCAGGAAATGAAGTTTTTTGTGTTGGGGGGAAAATAAAGCTTTTTATGGAACGTTCTTGTGTAATATTGCAAGAAGGAAATCTAAAAACAGCATAACTTGCTTGTTTCCAAACACATCTCCCTCTCCCCGACCCTTTAATTTTGCCTGCTACTCGAGGAATCCCTTCTCCTATTGGCTGACAAGTTGCAGTTAATCCACCAATAAGATCGTACGGGCCAAACTTCCAAGAGGCGTGCAACATTATTGTGATGTTTTTCAAATGTTATCACTTGCGCTAAAAATTTTACGTCAATAGCGCAAACGGAACATTATTGTTTTATTATTATTATTATTATTATTGTCTTTGGTGTGCAATAAAGATGAATGGTGGGCAGGGGAGGAAAAAAAAGATGACAAATTTGGATCCTGAACATGCTCCCGAGCGCAAACTACACACAAGCGCCACGAAAGCCAAACAGAGGCCAACTGCAGACAACACCATGTGATCGCAGGCTTGGACTCTTAATACAATTTTGTGAATTCCATCTGGGGCTATTTTTAGGACATGTGAGAAACTATCCAGCTCTCCGTTAAAGAGGCCGGTCTCCACGGCAACCCGGATCTGGCGTGAGAGTGGCCTTTGTCTGCAGCGCAGCGTTTGGCATCTCTACTTAAGCTCAAGTTCCTGTTGGAAAACAAAAGGAGAGCCGAGCGAAGCACGTTCCGACAGCTCGGGCAGCCGCAAGGCCAAGGCCATTTGGTCACCTTCCCCTGGAGTAGAAGCACTTTTAAAAACCCCATAAAACATCTGAAACTTCAGCCATACGGCTGAAGCCGTCGGCAAGAAAATGGAGCGGGATTTGTTTTCAACGATCCGAACAAACGGAGGAAAGATTTAAATGTCTATCTGTCCGTGCCTCCGATGAAAGAGTTTAAAAGTACCATGACGCTGCGTACGGTGTAAGAGGGGACCCACTGCAAATCATTATACATTGCAAAGAAACAAACTAAGAAAAGAACAAATACGTTTTCGTGATGAAAAAGAGTATTCCCGATTTGCTCCATCGAAAGAAGAAGCATGAACATGAAGGAGTTGATGAAGACCGCTGACTGATTTCACACACAATGGCACTTTGGGGCATATAATCGGATGCTGCTCCACTATCGGAAATTATTTTCTCAGGGAGTAAAATCTTCTGAAAATCTTGTGGGTGCATGTAATGCAGGAGTGTGAAACTCGTTTTTGTCGCGGGCCACATTGTAGTTACGGTTTCCCTTGGAGGGCCGTTATGAATTTTGGGGAACCATATAAATGTTTAATCCCATCCAGATATTGCATACACAGCGCACAACAAATTGATCAATTTCTAGTTTTACAATCAGAATTCAAGAATAATGACTCTTATTGTGGATTACATATGACAATTTGGTTCTTGGTTCAGACTTTAGCAAGCATGATGGAACTTGACGTGATTGATTTGCTTTCGCGGGCCACAGGAAATGATGTGGCGGGCCAGATCTGGCCCCCGGGCCTTGACTTTGACACCTGTGATGTAATGGATGCCTTTTTTAGCCCCTTAAAATAGTTTGTCCAATTTTTCTTACTCTGATAGCCGTTGACAGTCTTGCTATCATGAATAAACAGAAGGAACAATAAGAGGAAATGACGATGAACAGCTTTCGGTCAGTCTTTGGAAAAACAAACAATGATTGATCATCTCGGAACTCGAACAAACGTTTGGTCCGCTTGGTTTCCCTTCGTGCTGGTGGTTATATGCGAGAACTGATTGATTGATTACAGCCAATGTATCTTGGTCTGAACTACCCTTTCACCTCTCGATCTATACATGTCTGCATCTCAAACATGGTTGGAATATTAATGTTCCAAATGTCAATGCAAATCAGAAACTAGCAAAGAGCAGCGGGGGGTTGTGATGGCCGGGGGAAAAAAAAAAATCTAGCCAGTGTGGTTTTTGTGCTGTTTCTCTCAATGTAACTTGTATACAAAATGGACACAACATGATCCAATAATATATCGCATTTTGCACAGCAGCCACAATAATAAACACTGTCAAAGAAACAAGTGCATGAAATAGACGAAGACAATGATATAGTACACTCAAGCAAAAAATAAATAAATAAATAAATAAATAAGGCATTATCGAGGAAATTAGGCTCAGCAAAATGTTCATTTTTACATGATTGTTTTGCTCTCGCCGTAAAACCAGCCAAATGCCGAGATGATGAAGTCGGACAACAATGGATGTTGCGGCCAATGGGTACATTTTTAGATTTCAACTTCTCATACTGGGAACCCCGGTGGGCGAGTGCTAAGTGCGTAAACCTCACAGAGCAGAGTTACCGGGTTCGATTCCAGCTCCGGCATTCCTGTGTGGAGTTTGCATATTCTCCCCGTGTCTGTGTGGGTTTTCTCCGGGTACTCCGGTTTCCTCCCACATTCCAAACACATGCATGGCAGGCTGATTAAACGCTCAAAAATTGTCCCTAGGTGTGAGTGTGCGCGCGGTTGGTTGTTTGTCTCTGTGTGCCCTGCGATTGGCTGCCGACCGGTTCAGGGTGTCCCCCGCCTACTACCCGAAGACAGCTGGGATAGGCTCCAGCACGCCCCGTAACCCTTGTGAGGATAAAGCGGATCAGAAAACGGATGGATGGATGGAACTTGTCATATTTTGCTTGGTTATAAACGGTTTCAAGCAAGGGGTCTGGGATATGCGAGAAAAACTCGGTAGATATAGAGCGCCGTACCATGTCTGTCAGTTGGTGCCTTGTCTTTGTTCAGGTGAAGTTGAGGCCTTCTTTTGGGGATCAGCGCCGCTCCTTTTCATGAACTGTTGGACGCACAATGGATAAAGAAGCAGAGGTCAGCAGCAAGATAACGAGATGAACAAAAAAAAGACAAGAAAGAAAAGTGACACATTTGTAGACTGTGTCATTCATCGGACACACAGCCAGAATGGGAGCTTGAGAAAAAAATTTAAAAAACAGTCTAAAATTCTAGGACACTTCAAATGACAGAAAATGCATTTATAATAGATGAAGGAACTCACTCCCAGCAGAGAGCTCGTGTGCGACTGAAATGCTGCTTTTTCTCGGAGAATAATTCACCCCCTTCGGCCGAATTGGCTCATTTATAATTAGACATCATGCGAGAAAATGCTTTTTAAGTGCACTTATCCAGACGTGTGCAGGTGGAAGTTTCAGATCGCACCTTAAGGTCTTCTTACTTGGATAATTACAGTTATTAAAAGGAGCCGGGACACGTCGCTTCTGGCGTGACCTTGATGAGCGCCTGAGCTCGTGCATTATTCACCACAAGTACTTTCTTCACACACAACTGGAACCGTCACTGTACGCCACGCCTTCACCCGAGCGTCCCTAATGAGCATAAATGCTTTCAACTTTTCCCTGTTTCCAAACGACGGTGCCACAAGTGTCTCCCAAAAGAAAATAATGACCTAGCGATGATCGTCAACTTATCTGCTGTTATTCCAGCCTCATTGTGCACAAAAAAAAAAAGATCAGCGCCTGATCCCGCTTTAAATATTCAGCAAAAGCGTTTCTACAGCTGCACGCACCTGTTATCAGATTAGAAGCTGAGAACCAGGCAGTGCATACTCATTTTCACAGTTTTAGGAGAATATCTCGGCGCAGGGATATCAAATGCTAGCAGACAACAGATTCACCGAACTGATTGTGGCAGCAGAGTACACAGCTGTGATAACATCAGGGGAAAAAAAAAAAGCAATCAAAGCTGGAAAAGGAAATATACTCTCTCGGAGAAGTGGGGAGACATTGGGGTCAGTTATGCTGATGTATCGCGAAAGCAGCACGGGGACACAGAATCATTCATTTCTAAAATATTCCCCCATATCGCATCACGAGTGTACGTACCACTTGCTAGAATAATATGCCCACTTGGACAATCGAATGAGGTCCCATCCAAGTACAAATGAAATTAACAATTCATGATGGCTACAAAACCGCAATGTATCCCACCAGGCATTGTCTGATTGTTTATGAGATTGCGGAAGTACCATCCAAGTTGTTCAAAGGTCTGCGAGAATGAAAAGCTCGATATCTCTTGAGAGTGACTTTGCAGTAACTTGATCTTGATTGTTGCTGTTTGAGATCTGAGAGACTTAAAAAAAAAAAACACACAACACTTGAACGAGAAGGCTTGCGCAATATCTCTCGACCTACCAAAATGTGGACGTCGTTTTGAGCATCAACAAAACAACAAACATGACTATGAAGACAAGGAATTCCTTGGCTAGAATTCACTTACAGTTGGCACCGGAAACTACAAGCGGAATATTTACAAGTGGGGACGGGCGAGTACTAATACCAGGTATCGGGCCTTATTTCAAGGTATCGGTACTCACAACACAGCAATGGCAACCGACAGTACGGGCTAAGAAAGTGTTGTCCCAAGTGAACTTTATCCACAAGCATCCTCTCATTTGTCCATTCAGATACAATTTCTTGAAGTGGATGTACGTTTATCAGATTTATATTACTGCTTAGGGTGTATTATTAGTTTGCGTTTAGCAAAATTTATTCATTCATTCATTCATTCATTCCTTTTTCCAATCCACTTGATCCAATGGGGCGCGGGGAGTGCTGGAGCCTACAAATGGTACGTAAAGGCAAACATTTCAGTTTTTTTGAAAATACAATTTTGGGGGAAAACAGTTTAAACACTGTAACAACTTGAAAAGCCAGAAAAACAATCAGTGCAACATTCACTCTAATTGGAGAAAGTATCGTGACGCCACACTGTGAACTGAGATCTGGTATCCTCGATTTTAATATTTCCATCCATCCATCCATTTTCTAATCCGCTCATCCTCACAAGGGTCACGGGTGTGCCGGAGCGTCTCCCAGCTGTCTTCGGGCAGTAGGCGGGGGACAAGAAAAGTATGAGTGGTATCGGTTACTTGGTACTGGAGTACTCCTACAGGTATCGGTCGCCTTCCCGAAAAAGTGGGATTGAACATCCCTCATTAAAACCTTTGCACAGGGCACCGGTTGCACACATTTGGGCATTATTTACCTTTCAAAAAGCTTTTTTTTTTTTTTTTGAATACAGCTCTTGTATTGGATCTCGTTTGATTGTGCATCATTGTCATGATGTTGTGGCCGGGCCATTTATTGCGCAACAATACAGCACGGTAATTTGCTCCCATTTTGTGTTGGATTATGAGAAAAGCAGAAAGTAGGTAAATAATGATCATGATGTGAGGGTGGTATGAGTGTGAGGGTGGCCAAATGGCACCCTGAAGCCTGTTAGTGCGCGTCTCTCCCCTGCGCCTGTTTGGAGGGCTATTAGCAAGAGGAGAGCAACACTGGAAAGGGTCTGCATTATTTGTTGGTTCCCATGGAAACCATTTTCACGGGAAAGTGGAGCACCAATCGGATGGCGGCGCCTCATTGAATCAGTTATGGGGGCAAGAAGAAAGATCAGCGCAGACGGCTGGAAAAGCACAACAATAGGACGAGCCCCTCGAGGAAGACCATAAAGGCCAAACCCAGGATGGTCCCGCAAAGCAGCGCGCGAAAAGGTTTCTTCTCTAAATGGCTTTTCTGTTCAATGAATCCCTTTCACCAAAGCGTCGCCTCACATCACAAGCATGTGAGGAATTCAATCATCAAGGCAGCCACTAACTGATTTCACTCTGATGTTATTTCAAGCTCCGACATTACTATTGCATCACCGACATCTGGTTTATGTATAAAACAGCAACACGTTACCCATCAGGATCTGTCGGCGTATGTAAATCATATCATACACTTGGTGTTCGAAGAAAATTCATCTGACATGCAAAGTGCAATGAATGATCAAAGCCGCGTGCAGAGACACGACACATGCACGTACGCGACATTTTTCCAAGTGCAAATTTAAGCACTTATCAAGCATATTCAATTTATTTAACCTTTTATTTTGCACCAGCTTGACACAACATTCAAATACGGTATTGTAGTAGGCCTGAGTGTTCATCAAAAACAAGGCAGACGTTTCATTCCTAATAAGTACAATTAAGAAGCCGCTGCGACATTACGCAGTTTGAACCATGCTTAAGCCTAGGGAAATTTTAAAAATGTATTTAAATGAGAATAACAATAATATCCATACAGTGAAGCGTCTTGCTCCAGTTAAACACTGCATACTGTGCGTATAATGTAGATGTACATCTACATACAAATGGTACATAAAAGCAAACATTTCCGTTTTTTTTGACACAACTGTAAAGGCTAGAAAAACAATCACTACAGAATTTAGTCTAATTGGACAAAGTATCGTGATACCATACTGGGAACTGAGATCCGGTATTCTCGATTTTAATTTTTTAGGGAGAAAAATGTTGGGACACATAAGGAATGACACTTACATACAAGCAAGCCTTGTTGGACTGTGCTTTTTGCAAATGGGGCTCAGTCCTGCTGGAACATAAAAAGGCTCTTTCTCAAGCTGTTCCCACAAAGTTTGAAGCATACAATTGTCTGAACAGTCACGATAAAATCCAGAATCAAGATTCCGGCGGAAATAAGTGGTGTCACATAACCCGTGATTGACCAATCAATTTATTAAGAGGAGCATAGCAAGACTTGGGTCCAAAAAGTGTATTTGCCGTTCCCTTCCAGAGGAAGTTAAACAAGACTTTTATGAGACACAGCACCACATTGTATATGTCACTTGGCAGTCCCATCGGGTCACCGGTGCTTCCCTTTGTCTTCATTGGACGCAACATCCCAGTCAATCCGGCAGTCAACTTTGATGACAATGTCAGAGGTCAAAAGACAGCAAAGGAGTTGGACCCTTGCACCCCTTCCTCTGTGGAAAGGATGCGGTCAAAATGTAGAGGATGCGAAAAGGAAGTTCATTTTCCCATGAATGCCTGACACATGACCTCACCAGCAGTGTTGACAAATCTTTCAAATACGAGCAGTAATGACTTATACTCAACCTCTGTTTCATTTACCGTTTTCTGCACTATAAGGCGCTTCGGATTATAAGGCGGTACCTTCAATGAACTGTTTTCATATTTAGGGCGCACTGCATTATAAGGCACATAGAATAGAAGCTACAATAGTGGCTGCGGTTGCGCTATGCATCCACTAGATGGTGCTACTCCAGAGGGAATACAATACAACACACGACAGCTTTATTGATGCAGAGCCTTTACAACCGCTGCAGCTGTAACAAAGCCATGAGAACTGGTCACAAATACGGACATGAAACATATAAATGGCATTCCAAAACAATAAATGAAAGACAAAAGTTATGAAGACAATTGATTCAACAAAAAGGCACACAAACCTTGTGGGCTCACATTCACAAGTGGCTATATATCCTGAGAAGTCTTGCTTGTCTCCTTCTTCCTTCGTTTAATCAGTAGTTAACGATGCTTTTGCGATGATCTTTGCTTCATAATGGCTGCCCAAAAGTCATTGTCTGTCTGAGTGTGTGTTGGCGAATGCACAAGTCAATTCGCGTTAGGCAGAAACGTTTCACATTACAATTGGTTCCTGCTAATAATCATCATTAGATAGCATAGGAACACTAACAGTGAAACAACTCAATGGGGAGTATAAAGAGACTGTTGACACCATATATAAGGCGCATCGGATTATAGGGCGCACTGTTGGCTTTTGAGAAAATGGAATGCTTTTAGGTGCCTTATAGTGCGGAAAATACGGTAATTTGAAGCAATAGTACAAAGGAGAAGTATCACCTCTTCAAGATGATCCTCTGTGACCGCCTGACACAGTTTGATATAAATCATACTCTCACCATAGGAATAAAGAGGGCACACGACAGCAGCCGTAT